GTGTGTGTGTGTGTGTGTGTGTGTGTGTGTGCGTGCGTGCGTGCGTGCGCGCGTGCGTGCGTGTGTGAGTGCGTGCATGCGTGCGTGCGTGCATGCGTGCGTGTGTGTCTGTGTGTGTGTGAGTGTGTGCGTGCGTGCATGTGTGTCGGTACTACCCATATACACTACACACACATGTAGTTACACGTATATGTGTTAATTTCTTTTATATAATCTATATATATGTTTTCCATTTAGATTTCTATTCTTTAAATAAAAGGAGTTTGGTTCGTAACAGGGCAAGTATTGACGAGAGAGAACATTGAGCGCACGATCAAGTTTGCAAAGGAGGAGAAGCTGCTACTTATGTCCGATGAGGTCAGCTGATCAGAAAGTTCATTAACACGGTGGCAAGAAGAAATATCCAAACCATGTGCAACGCTTTATCACTGCTAGTATGGTCATCGCTGCTAAGTGGTGAACATTGTCGATTGTCATATCACTTGTATCGAGTGACGTTACTTGTGCGAATTGAACATTTTCACGATTTTGCACTTCAATTACTACTTAGTAATTAATAATAAATGTATAATTAAATTATTTGGTGAATAATTAATATGTTCACAGGTCTATCAAGATAATATCTATGCACCCGATCGGGAATTCCATTCATTTAAGAAGGTCTTGACAGAGATGGGAGGAGAATATGCTAATATGGAACTAGCTTCCTTTCACTCGACCTCCAAAGGTTACATGGGAGAGTAAGTGACTGCAACGTTATTAAATTGTGTTTAGTTGTATAATGAATCATTATGTCTTTACAATATTGTACTTACAATTTGTTTAGATATGTTTATGGTGATTTAAGTACCTTTGCTTGAATAAAGTTACAAAGTTATGATCGGACTAAGAGATGCTTTCTCTGGAGGGAGGGGGTGGCTCCATCACTGGTCCCTAGGCCACAATTAAAAGAATATTTGTTTGCCCTCACCCGACCCAGGCTGAAAAGTTTGGGTAGGTAGATTGGCTTTTTTTTGAGGGCAGGTTTTTTTTTACAAATTCAGCATGATGTCTACATGCTCGGGTGTGCTTGTTAGCTCATCTGACATAGTCAGATGCAGCTTGTAGAATCGCATGATCGTCCGTGCGAGCGTCCGTCTGTGCGTCCGTCAACAGTTGGGCACAAATCTTAACCGCTCGACGTACGGTCACGATATTCGGGGTGTTGGGGGGAATCGTCAAAACGAGTTGGGATGTCAAAGCTGGTGGTCAAAGGTCAAAGGTCAAGAGGTGTAAAAGAAGGGGGAACATTCCCTCCTTAACTTAAGGTATAGGGAGGAAATGCAGAATTGCGGCACAAATCTAAACGGCTCGACCTAGGCTCGTGATAGTCGCTGTATAGCATCATGGTAGGAAAAGCCATCACTGTGCCGAAATTGGAGGTCACAGGTCAAAGGTCAATGGGGCACAGGAAGATTTTAACATTTCTGAGGACATGGTCTGAGGGCGATTGAAAAACTTTTTGTTTCAGCGGTGACTCATTATTGACCATTTTTTATTGAAAGCACATGAATGTACTTTTCTGCTGAATGCGAAGAGTAAGTGTCGGATAACCTTTTGACCCTCAAGAGAGGTTAAACATGGATTTGTTGACTGTTAACAAAGGACTGAACTGCTTTTGCCATTGTGGATGTGAGCGTACAGTTGCACCATCAATTGCAAAGCAAATGTTTGTTGAACAAGGTTACGCTCCTTAAATCATTTATTTTCTAAAGCAGGTCTGTATTAGCAAACGCTGATAGCACCCTGTAATAGCAGACTGTAATGAACCGGAATGCTCGTGTGTATAGGCAAAAACATGGGGGCAGCCTTTACGCATGCATGGGGGTGAACTGCACTATTCGAATCATAATTATGTGTGGCAACCTGCAATGCAGATGTGTTAACTTCACAGCTGAGCGAATTCTTGCCTGCTGGAATATACTTGGATTTCAGCAACTCAATGGAGTGAGTTATCACGCATCGAAGGGTGATGCCACTTTGATTATGATGACACTTGCAGCGCGTGCCATCTCGCGGCAACTGCTTTTCTATGAGAGCCCCTCTTTCACTGCCCCCTCATCCACTTCTCCCACCACCACATGACGCTCTGCGCTTGACGCGAATCATGATAACATGTTAATATAGCGAAGTCATTAAAGTTCACAGCTGTATCTTTATATACTGTACTACCGCTAAGCAAGCTTTAGCTATCATAGATTTTAATCTGTATTAGTAGTTATCCTAGATATAGTGTCTCTGAGCGCAAACGCGTGATGAGAGGCGTGCTTTTCATATCGTTTGCAGTGATTTGCATCAGAAGCACCTGCGTCAGGTGAGCCGCTGTCGCCTCTGGCGGCACTTTGTTGAAAATACCTTTATGTTGAGTGTTTTGTTTGCTTGGTACATATATATATTACTTCAATTATATAATGTACATGATACACTTTGTTAAAAAAGAAAAAAAGAAAAAAAGATCAATAAATTTTTTTTAGTCGGTCCCTTTTTGGCGGGTCAACGGGTGAGCGGCAAAAACAAACAATATTTTTATTATGGCTCTAGTTTAGTGGGTGTACCGGAACTTGCGATACGGCCGGATAGATGCCAGCCGATCCGCCATTATTTAGGTCACCAATATAGACAATTGTGTACGTTCTTGGCCGCTTATTCGGTCCACTAATCACTGTGGCCTACTTGTACTCGAAATTAGTTTAACAGACTATTGCCTATCGTTTGCTGTAAATGTGTAATCTTGCACGAGCTGCCTCGTGGTTCTGTATCACCATTGAGCTAGTTTATTGTTATGAGCCAATGTGCCGAAAAGGGTTAATGATTACCATTATTTATCTGATCATCCATAGAATGCAGCGTGTTATGTATAGATATAATAGTAATATCATGTAATACGAATTATTCGCTGTCCTTCGTTTTTGCAATCCGGTCGTCACACTGAATAGCTGCATTGCTGCAATGAACTTGTCTGAAGGTGCACGTGCGATTTGATAGCGCGCGATCCTATCGGATTTTATTACTGCTAGTTTGACAGTAGTGTGTTTTGGTAAGAATGACCGGTATGTATAAGGACGTCTTGGGCTATGCACAAATGGATTATCAGCAGAACAGCGCAACACCAGATGAGCCTGTTGATCGCGGCACTTGTTTAGCTCAGCGACGAAGTCAGAGCAGCTGTAGAATCGCATGATTGTTCGTACCGTCGTAACAGTTGGGCAGCAAATCTTAGAATGCCGACGTACAGTCTTGATATTCGGAAGTCTGGGGATGCGAAAAGGACTGCAGGATGTCGGTTTGAGGGGTGCAAAGGTCAAAGGCGAGTATGTGTCATGGAGGGGGAATATTTCTGCCTTAAATTAAGGTATAGGGAGGAATACAGGAATTGGGGCACAAAAATTCCCGGCTCGACTACGTCTTAGATATTCGTGTATATGTATGGGAGGAAATCCATCACCAGTGCGAAATTGGAGTACGAGGGTCAAAGGCAGTGGGAAAGGATACAATATCAGACATTTCTGTAGGACGTGGTCTAACGGATCGAGTGGCAAAACTTTTTTGTTTCAGCGGCGACCTACATTTTTATAATATATTGAACAGGACAAATGTATTTTCGCTTTGGAAAGAACGGTGCGAAGATAGTGCTGATACCTTTGACTCAGAGGAGGGTTTAAACATGGATTTGTTGACTTTTGGGTTAACAAAGGACGAACT